GCGAACCTCCGCCTCCACCTCCGCCTAAACCTGCTTTTTGACGCTGCTCGGGCATGATAATCACATATATATATATATATATATATATATATACAAGACTGCAGTGGCGCTTCGCGCCACTGCACCTTGGTCCTTGGAGTTCGGTGTGCAGACGGAAATGGCAGGAAGGTCAAGCCGACAATTTAGCGATAACTCCTTGTTGCCTTTTCTGGCATCCCCGCTATAATAGTGTGATTCGTTATCCTTCCTCCATGCTTCTTTTTCCTCATTTTCGCCATACCCTGCGCATTCTCCCCATCCTCCTCAGCTCTTTATTGCGGAGGCTCCTCATTGGAGAGCCTCTGGGGGCCTCACACAAGTTGTTTCAGGCTTTCTTAATGCTTTCAGGAGGCCTCCTGGGTGTATTCTGGGGGCCTCTGGGGGCTTCCTCGGGCCACCCTGCCTCCAACCGCGGTCTCCCTGAACGACCGGGTCACGATTTGGAATGCTTCGGAGGGTGTCTTGGGGCCATCTTGGGCCGCCATGGGGCTCTCTGAGGGCCATCTTGGACCCGTGTTGTGCCGTTTTGGGGCTCTCTCGGACTGCCGGGAAGCCCTTTCGGATGTTTGTGGGGCGATTTTGGAGCCTCCCAGGCGGCTTCGGACGCTCAGAAGACCGCCGTCTTGGAGCGTCGGGAAGCCGAAAAGAGGAGAACCCCAAATTTAACTAAAAACCCACAGAAAACTAAGGAGTTTTGCCTCTTGGGGCCTTCTTGGGAGTGCTCTTGGAGGCCTCTTTGGGGCCGTCCTGGAGGCCTCTTGGACCATCTTGAGGTCACGTCGGTCACTCTTGGAGCGCTCTTGTGCTGTCTTGGGGGTCTCTGGGACGTCTCCGATGACCCCCCTGATCGCCCCAGGTGTGCTGCGAAGGCTTGTCAAAACGCCCTGCAAGGCCCGGGGGGCCGCTTCGAGGCCCGTCCGAGGGTTCCAAAGCCCCAGATCCCGGGAGTCCGGTTTTGGGGGGGGGGGGGGACGGGTTTTCCCCCCGCCCGGGCTTATAAAAATATAGGAAGAGGAATATGTGTATGGCTCCTGCGCCTCCGCCTCCTCGTGTTCTTACTCCTCCTCCTCCTCCTCCTCCTCCTCCTCCTCCTCCTCCTCCTCCTCCTCCTCGTCGCGGCGAGCTGAGCACTCCTCTACGAATCCCCATACCCATTGGAATAGCCTTGGCCCCACTGACCGACTTACCACCTAGATGGCTGCGTTCACATTCTAATAAACATACATACATACATACATACAGACAGACAGACAGACAGACAGACAGACAAACAGGCAGGCATACATACGTACATACATGCATGTAGACATGCATACATACATACATACATGCATGCATATATACATACATACATACATACATAAATGCATACATGTATACATGCATACATGCGTACATACATACATATATACATACATACATACATACATACATACATACATACATACATACATACATACATACATACAGACAGGCATATATACATACATACGTGCATGCATGCATGCATGCATGCATGCATACATAAATATATACATACATACACACACACATACACACATACATGCGTGCATACATACATACATACATACATACATACATACATACATACATACATACGTGCATACAGATATACAGATATACAGATGCGCACATACATACAAACATACGTACGTACGTACAAACAAACATACATACATACATACATACATACCTACATACCTACCTACATATATATATATACATACATACATACATACATACATACATACATACATACATACATACATACATATAGTTATGAAAATAAGCACCCCGAGAAGGAAATAGAGCTCAGAGGCGATTGGTTGAAGCCGTCCCGCTCGCGACGCGTTCGGCAACGTCGCTGGGGACATCCACACGAATCTGAAAACCGGACGCACCCTCACGCAGATCGCGACTTCATGGTCCACAACATGAAGAAAAGACCATACATCAACATACAATCTTCAAAAACACCTAGGCTTGATCCCACAGACCACGTCGCTCGTAGGAAAAAACAACCGTTTCGTTACAAACGACCCTGAAATGCTTCAAAACAGGAGGTTCGCTCCAGAGATCCTCCAAGCATTGGTTTCGGAGCTTCATCTTCAATGTCAAGGTGTGGAACACCCTCCTTCGCCACACGCATCGCAAGGTGCGGCAAACCCACCTGCGTTCGACTGCGACCACGCTGTTGCACCTCCTTCCCAACAGCCTTGTGGTGATCCTCATTATCATCATTATCTCCGTCTTCCTGTGTTTTGTCATTTCCTTTCTGCTCCTCGCATCCGACTCCATACTCCTCTTCGCGTGGGTGCTGCAGTTTTTTTGAAAAATGGTACTGGCATGTGCGCGCCACTTGTATGTATATGCACATATGCTTTCGATGTACACGTGTATACATAAAGATGAATATATTTATACATATATATATAGAACAAGATATTGTTGTTTCACTTCGCTCCCCACAACATCTCGCCACTCATCCCCATCCTTGGTGCAGGAGCGCAGATCTGGCATCCCGCTGCGCTATGTGGACGACAGGGTGCGGTGCGCTTGTGAACTTCATGGATATGAAGGTGTAGATATGATGTGCGTCGCGAGCTTGACGGTTTCGGGGGGTGCTGTTGCTGCATGACCGATCGTGGCGGACAATTGTGTCGGTGGTCGCGCTCGCGGTCGCGCCGGTGTTCGCGTTGGACATCGTGCCGGCGGGCGTGCCGGTGTCATGGTGGCGGTCGTGCTGGGGATGGCGCTGGTGGGCGGTCGCGCTGGCGGTCGCGCTGGTGGCTGCGCTTGCGGCCGCGCTGGCGATCGCGGGGCCAACGAGGGCGTGGGTTTTCATGAGGGGTGAGCACGTTCGGAAGCGAGGAGCCACCCAACAGGCCAAACCAATTTTGAGTTCACGCTGACGGCTGTTTTTTTTTCCAGGGCCTGGAATTGGGGGCGCCTGGCGCTCTGCGGGCAGGCCGGCGTCGAGGAGCCGTCGTTGGCGTGGCTTTTCGCAGAGAATGAGCATGTCCAGGAGCGCAGAGCCACCCGGTGGAAGTCGTCCGCCATGATCCCAGCCAGTCGGCGCATGGCGAGGCGGAACACCAGCGGAACCCTGGAGCCAAAGCCTTCGGAACAACAACGGCAGCCTGGAACGTCAGAGGTATGTACGTCGTCGCTAGTACTTGGAGCCTTGGCGTTCAGAGCTCCTGACGTCATGGGGTTTGCGGGAGCCTTGGCGTTGAGAGCCCTGTCGGGTGCCTCTTGGGCCTCCAAGGCGACGCAAGGTGGCCTCCAATGTTGCACAATCGAGGGAACGTGAGGGACACAACCAAAGCAAACATCACGAAGCAATCACCCGTATGGGTGCCGACGTACTTGTACATGATGCTGGATACGGCGCAGCGTGCTCGACCAGGAGATTGCGTCCAAGCCCACGTGTTCAATTCAGGCAACACAAAAGACCAACATAGAACTGAAGCCTACAGATTTCTATGGCGTTGCACACTCTGCTGGACCCAACGCCGCGTGCGGGGTGAAATCCAGGGTTGCGTGTACTTGTTCTGTGCGTCTGACGGCAGAGGGCGGCAGCGCGAATAATTCACGCGAGCCTATGGAGTTGAATGGTTTGTACGCCTGTTGGGCGCCGTTTCGAGGCCCCACAGGGGGCTATTCGGGGCCTCTTGGGGGCTTCCTGGCGGTCTCTTCGGGCTCATGGGGGCCTCTTGGGGCCGACGGGCCGAAACGTCGGGTCAGATCCCCCTTCGGAGCATTTCTTGGAGCCGTCTTGATGTCTTCGACCGTCTTGGAAGTGTCTTGGACCCTCTTGGGCCTTCTTGGGCCGTCTTGGGAGCCTTTTGGGCCGTCTGGGGGCGATCTTGGAGGCCCCCTGTGGCCGTCTTGGGGCGTCGAGAAAGGCACACGCGAGAACCTGAAAAACCTTCGAAAACCATCGACGAACCCATGAATTTTGCCTCTGGGGGCCCTCTGGGGATGCCTCTTGGAGGCCTATTGGAGCGTCTTGGAGGCCTCTTGGGCCGTCTTGGAGCGATGATTGGGCGTCTCGGAAGCCCTCTAGGGCCGGTCGGACTGGCTTGGCCGTAATTTCAGGCATTCTCGGAGCTGTCTGGAGGCCGTCTGGAGCTCATCCAGGGGGGGGAGGGGGGGGCGAATTGGGTGACGCCCATCTGGGGGGGTCCCGTATCATTTGATATGGACAAGGAACACATATATATATATATATATATACACACACATATATATATATATATGTATACATATATACATATATATATAAATAAATATGTGTATATATATATATATATATATATATATATATATGTATATATGCATGCATGCATGCATGCATACATATATACAGACAGACAGACAGACAGACAGACAGACAGACAGACAGACAGACAGACAGACAGACAGACAGACAGACATACAAACATACAGACAGACAGACAGACAGTCAGGCAGACAGACAGACAGACAGAAAGACAGACAGGCATACAATATATGGATAACAAATATATATTATAAACAGATCATGTAGATTTACACACATATATAGCATATATGAATGTTTCAAACATACATATGTGCATATAAATATGAATATGCTGCTCCCTTCGGGTCTCGCGGCACCGAACCCCCACCGCTGGGGTTTGGGTCGGTGGGGCTGCGATACCCTGGCCCAGTGGGATGGGATACGATGCTGGCACACGCCCCCCGTTGGCGGCGCGCACCACGGGGTTGGGGGAGGGGGGAAGGTTTCTTAGAAGGAGGCTGCTTCTTAAAAGGCGCTGGCGGCCAGCGGCTGGCCTTGCATCTACGGATGAAGCCCGCGCCTTCTGAGAAGCAAAGGGGCGTTTCTAAGAAGCCTTCCCCCCTCCCCCTAGCCCCCCTCTGCGCGCCGCCCGCCCCCCCCCCCCCCCCGGATCCTGGACAGCCGGCCCAAGTGCTGCTCGAACTCGCGCGCCAGGGACAGCAGGCTGTCCTCGCCGTGCGCCTCCGCCGGCGCCTCGGCGCTGGCGCTCATGGCTCCGGGAGCGGCACCCCCGCCGCGCGCGCGCGCGCCCCCCAGGCGCGGCAGGCAGGCGGGCTGCACGGAGCTGGGGCCCAGGAGGGGAGGGCTCGTCACCCCTCGCGGGCCTGAACCCGCACCCGCCCTGCTCGCGCACGCGCGCCGCACGCGCGCGCGGGGGGGGCCGCCGCCTGTCGGGTGTCATCGCGAGGTTTCCCGGGAGGTCCTCAGAGAGTATCTCGCCCAGGAACGACAGTGGGTTCCAGGGAACAAACGCACATTGGATAACATCCTGGGCCGAAGAACTTCCCAGGTCACTAGTGACACTCCAGCTCGAAAAGACAGGAAGGACGAAATCGGGACCGGTTCGAAATGGCTGTTCGACATGGCTCGCTGGGACAGAAAAGTGTCGACACCCGACACGCACCGGGGAGGGGTTGAGCTGGCGCTCAAGGCTCCGGGATCCAGGGAGCACGGAAGACCCGCAGGATGCAGGAACCTATGTGGCATCTCGCCCACCGCGAGCATCCTTGCAGCTCCGAAGTCTGCCGAATTCCCACCCAGCCAGGCAACCGGAAAAGATCAACACACGGAAAATAGACTCTACTGTTGCAACCGCGCGTGGGCCCGAACACCCGTCAGCACAGTTACCCCAAGCAGAGCTTGCCCCAAAGGGTGCTTACAGTGGAGGCCCATGCCAAGAAGCACTTTGGTTTCTTGGGAGTCGATGGCTTTTCTATGGAAAGCGTGACGCTCCCACACCAAAAATCAGTGGACGTCCTGGGGGTTCAGGGTTGGGTCTCTTGTGGAAGGTTTCCTGTGGTCAGGCACCTACTGCACCCATCGGTCGGCAAAAGTAGGTAGAACAGTGAGGCAGAGGAAGGCGTTGAAGTCGATTGGGTTTCCGCCCGCCCCCTGAAGAGGAGGGACGAGGGGAAGCCATTCGATCACTGCAGCAGGATGGCGCCCAAGGCAGCTCTGGGAACTGGGGACCCACAACTAACTACCCCGCTGCCGGCGAGCGAAAGGGGGGCACCTCCTTCCTTGGGCCAGCGGCCGGCAGCTCCCAGCGCCCTCCGCCGGCCAGCACGTCGTCCGCCGGCCGGCACGTCGTCCGCCGCAAAGGGGCACGTCGCGCGCCGGCCGGCACGTCGTCCGCACCCGCAGCCCGCCGCGGGCCGCGGGCGCCTCGCCTCGCGGGCGCCTCGCGCGCTGGCCTGTAGGGTCCTCCCCGGGGGGCCGCGGGCGGTCGCCGCCCAGGGGCGCTGCGGGCGCGCCCCCGGGCGGCGGCAGGCACCGCACCGTCTGCACCACACGGGTGGCAGTGCTCAGGCCCAGAAAAGCGACCGGCGTGCTGACCCCCCCCTTCGCGACAGGAGGTGCGTCGCGCATTCGTCGCCCGTGCGCCGCCCGTGCGTCGGCCGCCGAAAAGGCCAGCCGTCCTCTCTGCCCTGCCACCGTGGCAGGGCTGGGCCTCGCTTTCGGAGGCCATCGGGTCACCGCGGTGGCGGGCCCAGAACTGGGCAGAAGGGGGGGGCGGGCGGCTATGCGCGCGTCCGCTTTTCGTGCTTCGATCGACTCGTACATCGCAGAACGAAGGAGACGGCGTCGTCCAAGGCGACGATCTCGGCGCTGTCTCTCGTGCTGCTTGCGTTCCGTGTTTCGTTCTGCTCCACCTGCTTTCCTGTACCCTCCCCGCCAAGACGAATAGCCCAACACAGCCGAAGTCCAGCAAAACAGCGTTCAGGTCCAGCCGGGATAGATTTTCCTTTCTTCAATAAAATCTAGACTCTACCCCCCCCGAACGATCGATCCCCATTTTCACATTGCAATTTAAATATGATTCTGCCCCATCGTCCATCCGACCTGTAAGTTCATACTATCCCAGCCAGGCCGGTATCGACCCCCCCCCCGCCATCCTCTGCAACAAAAACTACTATGCGCGCACACTCGTTTATCACAAAACTCCAGTGTTCAAGAATCCCTTGCAAAAGAATGGACGAAGTGCATACGAGCGCGTCGTCGCGCGCGCAGCGCATGCCGAAATCCTTCAAAAACCTTCGGTTTCGGAAGGACTTCAAAATCAAGTGTCCAACAAAAACATAAAAGAACTCAGGGTTCCGCAACACTGATTTTCTAACAAAAAACTTACACGCGCGCCCTTGCGAAATCTTAAGAAAACCATGGTTTTTCGACATTCTCAAAAACAAATTCTACCAAACGGGCTTCGCGCGCGCATGTCGAACTCGTTCGATCGCCCTTGCGCGCAAAAAACGAAGTGCACGCGCGCGCGTCGTCGCGCGCGCATGCCGAAATCCTTCAAAAACCTTCGGTTTCGGAAGGATTTCAAAATCGAGCTTCCAAAAAAAACGAAAACACAGCGCTTCGCAACACGGATGTTCAACAAAAGCGTGCGTGCGCGTTCTTGCATTGTCGTCGTCGTCGTCGCTGTCCTCCCTCCTCCCTCGTCGTCGTCGTCGCCGTCGTCGTCCTCTGTCTTTGCTCGTCGTCGTCGACGTCGTCGTCCTCTTTGGCGTCGTCGTCGTTTCCATCGTGGTTGTCGCCGTGGTCGTCCTTCCTCCTCCCTCGTCGTCATCGTCGTCCATTGTCGGCGTCTCGTCGTCATCCCTCCTATTTCGTCGCAGTCGTCGTCGTCCTCTTCCCTCCTCCCTCGTCGTCGTCGTCGCCGGCGTCGCCGTCCTCCCTCCTTCTTCGTCGTTCGCTTTGTCGCGGTCCTCCCTCCTCCCTCCTCGTTGTCGTCGTTGTCGTCGTCGTCCTCCCTCCTCCCTCGTCGTCATCGTCGTCGGCGTCGGCGACGTCGTCGTCGTCGTCGGCGTCGTCGTCGGCGTCGACGTCTTCGTCGTCGTCGTCCTCGTCGTCGGCGTCGTCGTCGCCGTCGTCGTCGTCGTCGGCGTCGTCGTTGTCGTCGTCGGCGTCGGCGTCGTCGTCGTCGGTGTCGCCGTCGTCGTCGTTGTCGTCGTCGTCGTCGTCGGCGTCGTCGTCGAAATCGTCGGAGACGTCGTCGGTGTCGTCGTAGTCGTCGTCGGCGTAGTCGTCGTGGTCGTTGTCGCTGTCGTCGTCGGCGTCGCTGTCGTTGCCAAGTGCCATCTGGTACCCACCGTCACGGTCGTAAGAAGTCTTGCGACCAAGTTGCGGGTGGGAGGGTGGGATGTTTGCACGGGCAGTGGAGAGGACAGCTTCAAGACAGCCAAAGCGAGTTACACCCCATAGACTGCATCTCATGGATGTATCCATCCATGGATTGCGCCACGTAGCTTGCACCACATAGACTTCCCCTCTTCCGAAGACTCAAGACGCGACCAGCCTGCCGAGGTCGGACTTGTCCGCTCGCCTCCGCGTAGTGCTTGTGTCCTATATTCGCTCTGCACGATCGCTCATCCAATGAGGTACCACATCTCGCCGAACCGCAATCAATCTCGTCACGGTACCGACGACGACAGCGGCGGCGGCGACGGCGGCGACGACGACGGCGGCGACGACGACGACGGCGAAGATCGATCCCCAGCCAGGTGCGCGGCCAGCCGACCGCAGGGAGCCCAGAAAGGAAGTACGCGCCAAATCACGCACATGAGCATACAGATCGGCATGTCTATATATATATATATATATATGTATATGTATGTGTATGTATTCATAAGTACACATGAATAGATGTGTGTATTAGCTGGCGCGGGCCCGAAACAGTGTGATTCGAGCAATCAATAAATATACTGTGTGCAACCTACGTGGAGTAATCCTTGTTGTGTGCAATTTGTGGTGCAATATATGTTGTGAAGCCTGTGTTGAGCAACATATGTGATGCAATATGTGGTGAAAATCAGGTGGTGCAATCTGCGTAGCGCAATCTATGTGGTGCGCGATTTAAGCGGTGCACTCGACGTGATGCAATCTGAGTGGTGCAATCTGCGTGGCGCGATCTAAGCTTCTGATGATTTGCCACGTGGGACATTATATGTTGCTTGATCGGGTTGCTGGTCACCTCTCTGCCCTCCTGCCAGCTCGGGGCGACAGAGGAGGCCGAGGGCAGCTCGCGAGCAGAAGGCCCACCCACGTTGGAAATGCCGCTGGGAAGACCTCTGGACATAAGCCCACCTTGGATGCTCGTTCTGGGGACCTTCCTGGAGCCACTCGCTCCACTCGTGCGTCGAAGCTGTGTCGAACGTCAGTCGAGTTGGGTCGACCCTGAGTCGAACCAGAGTCGAACCTGAGTCGAACTTGAGTCGAACTTGAGTCGAACTTGAGTCGAACTGGGGTCGAACAGATCCGTTATGTGGGCTCCAGGAAGGTCCCCGAAACGAGCATCAAACCCAGCTATTGACTCGCCCACCCAAGCTGTCAGCACGCGCGCCGCCAGAGAGATGTGCCGAGTCACCGGGCGGTTGTCCCGATCCGCTGTCGGCGCAAGCGCCTCCAGGGGAGGCACGGAACTGCTCGCGAGCTGGCCCACCTGCAACGGTCGGCCACACACATAGGCGCTTCCAAGAGGCAGGAAGCGGCGGTGATTCGCCGCAGGCGTCTTCGATCTCTCTCTCTCTCTCTCTCCCTCTCTCTCTCTCTCTCTCTCTCTCTCTCTATGTATGTGTATATATACATATATATACACATATACATATACGTAAACATACACACGTACATATACATATACATATACAGATACATATACATGCACCTATACATATGCATGCACATATACATATACATATACATATACATATACATATACATATACATATACATATACATGTACATATACATACATATACATATACATATACATATACATATACATATACATATACATATATATATACATATACATATACATATACATATACATATACATATACATATACATATACATATACATACAAAAATACAACTATAGTTACACATATATGTATACATATACACATACCTATACATATACATATACATATACATATACATATACATAAACACATACATATACGTATACAATACAAACACATACACATATACCTCTACACATACACAAACATATACTTACACATGTACGTGAACATACATATATATATACATGCATACATAAACGTATGTACATATATAGATGTACATAAGTATACATATACATACACCTA